GCCACGCCGCGGGCCATTTGATCTAGGCCGCTGGCACCAGGCCGGCTGCCGGTCCCCTTAGGAGGATTCGGGATGACAGCCGACATTCTTTTTTGTCTTCCTATTTTTAAAAGTGCAGGGACTTTGAGAGTCCACTGTCTCCCTCTCGATTATCTCTGCAGAGACGGAAAGAAACCCAGTCACAGCCTCTCTTTCCTAACTGCGAGAGCATTATAGGGTGTCCATTTGCTGTCCACAGGAATGCTGGCCTGAGAGCAGACAGCAGGGCGGAAAAAATGCATGTTTAATTATTTTTTAAAACTCTTTACGTACGTTTCCTCGTTCCAGCTGATAATTTATGCTTTATGTAGCTTTTAGCATTTAGACATTTTCTTTACTTCAGAACATCTGTAGGGGATTGAGTGTCCTTTATTATTTTTTTCATTTTACCCTGTATGAAGCTAAATGCCTTTCTCTGTGGTTCAAAACGGCACCAGACCACCATCACCCCTACCAAACCTTTCCTGGAGCAGCAGAAGGGGAATATACTTTTATGAGGAAAGCAAAGGCTTCTCTAGGCCCTGTAGAAATCTTCACACCAACACAGCACCACCTCTCTTGATCCACAATTGTCCCATGTGTAGGCAGAGCACAGTCATTTGTGTTTATCTGATTGGAGCGTTGGGATATAAATAGTTTCAGGCCCTGCTGTTCTGTCCTCTCAACCAGACCCCCCAACTGAAACAGCTTTTTCAAGGTAGGCCTGCTTCTTGTGTGTGTTCAGCTGGGCTGTGTGACTTGAGGTTAGGATGTTGTCTATCACTGAATACTTGCCACTTTGGAACATGATTTCACTCTTATCTCAGGGGCGCTCTGCAACAACTCTGAAGTAGACCCATCTTATGGGAGGAAAAGTGAGGCACAGTAGTAGCCTGAGGTCACAAAAAGAGTTACTGAAGCACCATAAATTAAAGTGTGAAGTAATCAGTACAATAATAATACAGATAATGACTGAACCACAGCGAGAATCCAGTCATGCTTTCTCCTTCCCAAATCTCACTTAACTATGCTTTTAGGGGCTTACCACTCTACCCTATCCTTTCATAAATTAGGAGCTAGCCTCTGAATCAGAATTCATTTCTCTTGATGTAGAAGACGAAGTTGTTATCCCGAGTGACAGTCATGAGAGAACAAAACCACGAGACCAGACAGCATTTATGGATAAATATATTAGCAAATAAATACATTTCTCAACATAGTGCCTGATTCAAGCGTCTTTCTGTCTGGTTCAGATATAAATACCCATGTAGGTGCCTAAGTGCTAGTTCCCCACTGACTCTAAGGGAAGAAGAGTCCCAGGTGGGATCCTATGCCTACTTTGCTCCCACATTCACATTCCAAATGGGATAATGACTGAGAGGCCAGCAATGGTCATGCTGTCCTGGGGTGAATGTCACCCTAAGGAGGCCCCTCAGCCCTTGCCCACTTGGTACTAGCTGCTCAGACCAGACTTTCTACTCTCAACTCCACTCTCATATGCACACCTGCCTGTGTGTCCCTGGCCTGTATGGCTTATCCTGGAAGCTAGGCCTCTGGGCCATCTAAACCCAAGGGTCCCACTTTGCTTTTCCTTTGTTCTCCCCTGTTCCCCATGCCTGCTCTGAGAGAAAACTTCTGGAGAAAAATTCCTTGTTGTCCTTATCCAGCTGTAATTCTAAGCCTCTTCCACTTTCAATCCATCCTCCCTCTTCCTAGATGAACTCCAGCAGAAATCCTCTTCTTTCTGCTCACTGCGGGACTTTGAGATAGCAGATCTCCAAGGAAGAGTTTTTCTCTCCCACTATCTCCACCCCCCAACTCCCAGGGAAACAGGGGCTGCTAGAGTGACAAGGGAGTTTGGAGCTCAGAGGCTCCATCCCAGGTTCTTCAAGTTGTATCACCTGGGGGAGAGAACTCCACACTCTGGCTTCCCAGAGCCTCCCCTCTAACTTAATACAGTGTATCTGAAAATTAAGGACAAGAAGGGGAAAACATACTCTGTTATATACCAGGGCAGCAGCTACTGCCTGGAGAAGTTGCAGAGCCCCCACCCTTTTTTTTTTTTTTTTTTTAAGGCTCAGGGCTCACTATGCTCCTGGTCCTTTTGCAAAGAAGGAAAATGGTAAGAGCCAGGGAACTAAAGCTGGTGTGCAGGATTCATCCAACGAAGGAGGTGAGAAGGGGTCATACATTCAGCTGGACCCACTGGCTGGACCCACATGAGGCTTGGGATCAGGGAGACCTGCTGTGGCTGGGGGAAGGAGCAGCACCTTTATAAACACCTATCTACCCATACAAGCTTCCTGTTCTCAAAAACAGCCTTCAAGGGAGCCAGCCCACACAGTAGCTGGTTCCCTGCTGGACAGAGGCTTGCTGTGCTGCAGATGTGTTCTGCAGACAAGGTCCGGAGCTGGGAGCAGGAAACAACACCTCCTACCACCCACTATCACCATTCTTCTTCTAGTGGTTCCAGGAGGGTCTTTCTTCTCTCAGGAGCAGGACTCTGCGCCAGGTAGCGCCCCAAGTCATCTGGAGCACACTCTTGGTTGGAGGTAGGCCTGAACGTTTCACACGGCCTGTTCACATAGCTCCTCAAACTCCTCCTCTGACCCTGCATTTAGAGAGAAGGGAGGAGAGAGGTCACTGAGGGTCAGGCCAGCCCCTTGATTATACCACCTGCAGGAGAGTATGGCTGGGAAGGAACCACAGAGAGGGAGGAGCAGGGAATGTGTCCAGAAGGAGTGATTAGATTGAAAGCTGAGAAGGGCACAGGAAGAAGAAAACAAATCCAGACAAAGAGAAACATATATAACAAAGAGTGTGTTACCAATACTTACTATTCATTCATTCTCCCAATAAATATTTATTAAATACTCATGAATCTGGCCTGCCACAAGTGCCAAACAGAAGGCCAAAAAGAATAAGCAGGGACTTTACAACATTGTAGGAGAGAAAGTATGCATGCAAATGGCAATTATGCCAGTGAGATAGGACTGGGGTCATAAGAGATGAATAGGGGAAGGGGAGAGATCACGTCCAAGTGGAGCAATCAGGAAGGGCTTCCTGAAAGTGGAGATAAGTGACCTGGTCTTGCAGGAATAGGTAAGAATTGGATTTATGGGAATAAGAAGGCAGAAGAATATTCTGGGCTGCAGCAACTGCAAGAGGTGTTGACCTAGTTTGGCTAAAACATGGGGCAAGGGAAAGGAAGGAGAAGAGTGGAAAATAAGGTTGGGAAGGAAGATGAGAGCTACATGGTGCTAGAGCCTTAAGGCCAAACCAGCTTGGATTTTTCTTTACTGTGGACAAAACGGAACATTTGACTACTTCTGGACAGTTGACCTTGGCAGCAGTATGGAGGGTAGGTGGGTGGGGTAACTGTGCTGCACAATTCTCCACTACATAACACTGGATGGCCAGTGCCCAGACTTCATGGCCCTGTAAGAGGGAAAGGAAGATCTAGGAGGCTCCTGCCCCGACCCTTAGGTTGCACCTAGGACATAAGCAGGGGTCATAAGTACCAGAAGAGAATATGATAAAGCTAGCAGAGATAGTTAACAAAACCCGGCATTGACCGGATTTGGGAAGTGGGGAAAAAGGCGGCACTGAAACTAGCTCTGAGTTTGGGGGCGAGGGGTGGTAGTCTATCACCGGCAGTACTGAGAATACAGTACACACAGGACAGGGACCCAATGGAATCATCAAACGCATGGCCAAAGTCTGCATTTCATGGCTCTGTGACAGTGATTATTTTCTCTACTGTAACTGTTTGCATGCCTGTCTTCTCCAGACTTGGATCTCCTGGTTGAAAACTTCCATGTCCTCAGTACCTAGCCCAGAACCTAGCAAATAGCAAGCACATAATACAGAAAGGAAAAAGAAAGAAGAAATGGATGGATGGATGGATGGATGGATGGATGGATGGATGGATGATAGCAGCTTTCAGATGCTGCCTATAGAGTTCCCTGAGGTCTTATATTTTAGGACCTCTGGCTCCCCTTTTGGGATGGAAGGATCTTTCTAGTGATGTCTGTAGGCAAAGAAATGTGTCATCCACACAATGGGAGAAGATGGGGAAGAGCAGGAGGTGGAAGGTTCTGGAAGAGGAGGATTTGAGCAAATAAATACCAAGTTAAAGTTGAGGATTTACATAATCACAGTCAGCTATATAATACAGTAATAGGGATGCACTGAGCCCCCAAGAAAATTAGGTCGGTCTTATTAACAGGGAAGCCCTAGCTAATCTTTTACCCCAGGGGAGAGGAGGAAACTTAAGGACCCAGGGGGCTGCTGGGAACCACGCATTATCTCTTTTTTTTTTTTCCTTTTTGCATCATTCACATAGTTTTTCTCATATGGCCTAGTATTATGGATATCAGTAATTATTTCTCCTCCATGCTCTCCTCAAGGGCAAGGAACACTTCTTGGCCGTCTTTGTAGTTAAAGCTAATATTGAGCTGTATGTTTTGGTATGCCTGTACCAAGTATTAAAATATAAAAACTTCTATTTGAGCTGCTGCCCCAAACCAAACCAAGGACTTTCGATGTCTCAGCCACACTAGGACTTCTCTGAGAACTTCCTGTGATCTGGCAACCAAAGGAGTAACACCTGCCAGAGGCAGAGCACTGTAGCCAGCATCCTACGCTGTACCAGTTGTTCAGTATTTTGAATGTCGTCCTTGATATACACGTCTCAGCTTCCATCAACCCTTTGTTGTCTGACTTCATTCATTCTGCAATATCCAGCTCTAGTCTCCTCTCCCCACCACTTCCCCTGAAAACTCACCAGGCTGGGCTGGCAGCACCTGGCAGTGTGGGTAAGGGCATGGCCTGCCTTCTGGGGTGCCAGAACTCCATTCAGAAGGCCTGTCCCCAGGTGGGTGTGGTCCCAGGGGCTGGCGTGGAGTCAGACACAACCACGCTGGCTGTGAACTTGAGTAACAGGGGCCTGAAGTTTCTGGGAGCAGCCTCCTGTCCAGGCCCAGAGGTCCGAAGATCAATGGGTGGACCTCTGGGGACCAAGGGTATGCCAGGCTGGGGCCATAATGTGGAAAAGTCTGGCAAACTGGGTGTGCAGTCAAGTCCTGGGGCCGAGAGGCTGGGGTGGGCTCTGAGGGACACCCCCGCCGTTTCCTCTGTGGGTGTCGGACAGGGAGGCTGTATTTTTTCAAGTGGAATAGGCCGCTGTGACTGGGACTGGGGCTGAAAGCATCAGTTGGGCCTGGGGCTGGCTCCGTGAGGGCCCTGGGTCGTTGTGGGTAGGAGAGCTGCCCTGAAGGGGTTGATGTGTTGGATCTGGCAGCTTGCTGATCAGGAGCAGGCAGATCTGGCTCGGGTTGTGTCTGAGGAATGGCAGGTCTGGACAGGAGGACCCCAGTTTCTGGGCCAGGCTTCCTGCCATGCCACTGGAAGCGCTTTTTGTAGTGGTGGTGCCGGTGGCGGTGGTAGTGGACGTGGCTGGAAACCTGGGTTTCCCCTTTGGGTACCACTGAGTCCAAAGAACGAGGCCGAGAGGTCATGCTGGGCTGAGTCTTCACCACCTGGGGATCCCCTTCAGGACTGCAGTATACCAGGGGGTCAAAGTCACTGCTCAGAGAGCTGCGGAAGGTGGAGCTGCTGCCATGGATGCCCTGTAGGCTGATGTCTGTGCAGTTGACCACTGAGTCACTTGAAGAGCCATGACAGGGCCCCGAACTAGAGTCACTGGCTGGCCCATCTGCCAGGTAGCCACTGCGTTCCGTGCAGTAGCTTTCTCCAGACCCACTGGTGTCATGAGGCCTGGCCCGGCGTGGGGGTGCCGGGCAAGCGGCAGCGTGCTGCGAGGTGCATTGGAGGCGGCTCAGCCCCCAACCCTGTGTCAAGGGGTGCTGAGCCACTGCCAGGCGCTGCTGCTCGCCTGGAGCCCAGGGATGTGTAGCTCTGGGGAGGCGGTGGTGCCGAGGGCCCATGCCTGGCTCCTGGGATGGTACGAAGGGACCAGGTTGTGGTGGCCGAACCACTGCAGTCCGGGAAGGGCCCAGCAGATAGGCAGCAGGGAGGTGGTAGTGGGCATGGCCGGGATGCTGGCGAATAAGGTGGAGTCTCTGGCCTGGTTCCTGGTAAGATCGAGAGGATCCCAGGGACTGAGAAAATGAATCTCCCTCTGGAAGAAAGAACCAAGAGCACAGGTGTTGGTACAAACCCACGGAAGGTGCATTCAGAAAGGTGTGGCGATAGCGTACCTATTTGAGCCTGCATAGCCTGTGAGCTCGGTCAGAGTTTGGGGGCCCAAGGACATTCCTAACCTGACTGTGCCCTGGGATGCCCTTGCTCCCTCCAGTCAGGTTGTCCCCTGGGAGTTCCACTGTGCATTGCAACACTTCCTTCTCCCATCAGTCACTTGGGGTTCTTTCACCCAGGGCCACTGCAAGCCAACACTGCTCCTTTGGGTGAATTAGAAAAAAGCTCTCTTTCCTCAAGAGACTTTATATCTTTTAGAAAATTGTCATAATATCTTGGTTTTGTTAGAATAGGATATTTTATCGTCAGAAAATATAAATCATCCAGATTTACAATCAACAAAGTTGTTATAAAAGCAAATATTTTTTTAAATAATAAAGATGTTTACAGTGTGAATGGCCCTCTCCCTCAGATGAGGTACCCCTGAACAGTGCACAGCTTAAAACACTGTTGAGGCAGTGCTGATTTCTCCCCAGCTTCAAGGCAAAACCCTTTCCCAGAGGGAAGTCATGTTCTGGACCCATCTGCCTACACGCAGGAGAGTCCTTGGCCCACCTCCTACCTACGATGTTGAACATGCAGAGGGGACAAGTCCGATGCTGATGCAGCCAGGGGTCCACACAGGCGCGGTGGAACTCATGGAGGCAGGAAATGACCCGTAACTCCTGGAGAAAACAAGGAGGTCTGAACCAAAGTTATCTGCAGCTACAGGATTGTCCGGGAACCAAGACACTCCTCTGGCCTCTCCTTGCTATCATCTACTTGCAAAAGACTTCCTAATAGAATAGAAAAGGCATGGGCTTTGGTATAAAGTAAACCTGGATTTTGCCACGTAGCTGCATATGACCTTGGGCAAGTTTCTTAACAGACAGTTTTCTGCTTTACACTAAGAACAAAGAACTAATCTACCCTCTCGCCACGTGGTCATGAGGCTAAAAGGAGATAATGCATCTAAAGTACCCACTGCAGAGCCTGGCACATGGTACACACTCAACAAACAATTG